CTCCCCCCTCCTGCCTCGCCCCAGGCCTTCCCCACCCTATTGTCTGTGTCTCTGGGCTATGCACATATGCCTATAAATTCTTTGGTTAATCTCTTCCCACCCACCCCCTTTCCTCTGAGGTTCCTCAGTCTGTTCCATGCTCCCATGTTTCTGGATCTGTTTTGTTCGTCAGTTTATTTTGTTCATTAGATTCCACAAATATGTGAGATCCTGGGACAGCTTTCTTAGACACAAGGATGGGCAGAGGTGCGGGAAGGCTGTACTGGTCCCTCCCACTTGGCAGTGTGGTCTCCCGCATACAATCTGTCCTATATTTCTTCGCAGGGCTCAGGGAATCAAGAAAGCATGTCGAGTGATGATAAAAATAAACCTAATGATCCCAAGAATGAGCCCAAGAACTGTGACCCCAGATGTGAACAACAGTTTGAGACCAGATGCCAGCCCAGCTGTTTAAAGAAGCTGCTGCAACGCTGCTCGGAAAAGTGCCCGCTGCCCCCCAAGTGCTCCCCATGCCCCGTGCCATGTCCCAAGTCTTGCCCTCCGCCTTGCCCCCCGCCTTGCCCCCCGCCATGCCCTCCGCCTTGCCCTCCGCCTTGCCCTCCCAAGCCCTGTTGCAAGCCCTGCCCTCCTAAGTGCCCACCGCCCTGCCCACCCCCAGAGTGAGGCCCCAAGGGCGCCACCAGCCCCACGCCTCCGCCAGCTCCACCTGTTCACCACCTCGGGGCTGAGGCCGAAGCCATGGACTGACAAGTAAACGTCTTCCTCTGCTGTGCAAGACTTGCTTCTCCTGGGTTTTTGGTGTCTTGGGGGCAGTTTTCAGTTTATCTGTTGATTTCCAGAACTAAACCACCAAGAAGTGATCCCAGGGCAGTGAAGCTAGAACCCTGGCCCTCCACTATCAAAAACTTTTGAAGACGGTGTCCCCTCTGGCCCCACCTGCTACCTCCAGAGAAGTGGCATCTTCTGAGCGGGCACCCGGGGCCCACCTCCCTGTAACAGCGCAGCCTGAGAGCCGTGAATAGCGCTGTTAAAGTGACTAACCCCAGGGACCAAACAGGCGTGAGGGAGGAAGAGGGAGTGAGGGGGAGAGAAGAGGGGTGTCAGGAAAGGTCCCAGGAGGCTCAGGGAAAGAACCCCACCTTTTGCGGCCAGTCCCATTGCCCGTTGCTTGGACACAGCACGGAAAACAGGCTACATGGGTTGAAACTCCAGCTCTGCTCCCTAACTACTTTGTGACCTTAAGCAAGTTGCTTAATGTCTCTGAGCCTTAGTTTCCTTCTCTCTGTACAAGGAATGATGATGCTAGTAGTGCTGGTGGCACAGGGTTGCTGTGTGGCTTAAGGAGTTAAAGGCCAAGTGCCTGACTCACTGGGACAGCAAGCGCTTGCGGAGGGGAGCACACTGCAGCTGGCCAGGTGTCACATGCCACACCTGAGCTTAACTGCCCTGTGCTGTCTCCCTCGGGCTGCAAGTCTCCTGAGTGCAATAGTTAGGTTCTAACAAAGGTGCAGTGAGTACAGAGTGTCCAAACTGTGCCCAAGAAAAAACACCTGCTGTCCCCACCAACCAAGGTCATCTCAGAAGCAGGCTTTTGGGATGAAGGAGCTGGCAAGGCCTTTAGGGTGTGTGTGACCTCTCGTTTTTCAGATGTGAAAACTGCTAGTTTCTTTTTCTGATAGGAGGAGGCCTTGGGGTCTTGGTCTCCTAGCAACAATGGGAGCCTGGCACCCACATTCCAGGGCCTGCAGAGAGGTGCCTCCTGGACACAGGGAACCTCTGGAAGCCTAATATAGGGTATTAAGGGGCCTATGGTCAGCTGTTGATAACAGGCTGAAAATTCTTCTACCATCATCATCTGTCAAAAAGAAGGGAGAGAGAACCCTGGCTGGTGTGGCTCAGTTGGTTGAGCATTGGCCCAGGTGCCAAGAGGTCGCAGGTTTGCACCAAGAGGTCACCAGTTTGATTCCAGGTCAGGGCACATGCCTGGGTTGTGGGCTCGATCCCCAGCAGGGAGCGCGCAGGAGGCAACGCGTCAATGTTTTTCTCTCCCTCTCCCTTCCTCTCTCAAATCAATAAAAACGTGTGTGTGTGTGTGTGTGTTTGTTTTAAAAAAAAAAAGGGAGGGAGGGAGGAAATAAATTGAACTATAATGTGACATCCTCCATCTATTTAATGATCACTTTTAAGTAACAAATCCCAGAGGCCCCGTGCTAAAGAGAATGCTAGTGCTGGTGAGAGTGTAAATAGACAAGAATCCTTTCAGAAAAGAACTTGAGGAATATGGAAATTCCTCAACAAAAGCATAAAATGATTCAACCTTTTGGCCTAGTTGTTCCATGTCTTGAAATCTATATAAAGAAAAGTAATTCGAAGATGGGCAGGTGGAGGTTATATAAAACTGATTTATCACGGTGTGACTTAGAAACAATTTAAATATCAGGGAATTGATTAAAGTTGGACCTGTTACTTGATGGAACATTACATAATCTCTAAAATGTATTAAAGGGGGAGAAAGGCTCCAATTCAATGTATAGTGTAAAGCAACTATGTTTAACCAAAAGCTTCTAGAAAAATGGTAATAATAGAAGGAAATCTGTTGACATTCTAGTTACTTTAGGAGTTATGGGTGACCAGTGGAATATGTTTATTTTTCTCTAGTCTCTGAATTTTCATTAGAAGGTTATTTTTTAAAAGCAAAAAACAATATACTTTTGAATACTTCAGAGACCCTCAAAATCCTTGCATTTGCTCAAAGAACAAAATAAGCCCCGGGGGGGTGGGGGTGGAAAAGTGTCTTCCTGCACCTGAACACACCATGTAGGAGGTGGCCCCACCTTGGGTGCCATCCTTGGAGATGTAGGATCTCACTCCCAGGCCTGCCAGGAGCTCCATGGCAGTGTCAGGCAGAGGTTGGTGCCCTCCCGGGTGGCTCTGAGGATTCCGGACACAGACTGGGTGGCAGCCAGCTCTGAGAACATGGAACCATCCTTTTGCCAATGTATTTTCTTTTCTCCCATGTAAATGAAACCAAAGATACACATCTCTTAATGGCTACTTTCCCAGCAGAAAGCTGGATCAAAGGCAACTCTGGGGAAGATGGCTGGAACATGATGAGTGTGCCACCTCCCTGCTGAATGCCATAATTACTCCCAGCCCCAGAGGCAGTCACCAGGTCCAGCCCCCAGTGGAAGAGGGCTGTATAAATAAATAGCAGTGCCAGGCTCAATGGCTCACAGACAATGTGATGGGGTAGAACCAAGCCCTCTCCTTTCATGGAAAAGCAGTTCTGAGGGTCCATTAGGAAGGCGACAAGAGGAGACACTCTATCACAGACCCCCCTTGCCTACCGCCACCTTGTAAAAGGACTTCTAAGACCTCTCAAACCAGGCCAGCTGGACAACTGGCTGTGAGGTGGGCCAGCCCCATGAAAGGGCTGCCTAGAACCACAGGAGGTCTTAGGAACCTAGGAACCAGGGGTCATTTTTATGTATCCCCCACCCCCACATGCAATGACAACTGGAGAGATGGCAGGAAGGAACCAGCAACCAATCCCGTCCTATTTTCCTGCCCTGCTTCCACATGGCCAGCATTCCAGCCAGGGACTCGAGCACATCCGGGAGCCTTTGTCGACAATGACAAGTCGTAACTGCTTCTAGGTCACAGCTGTTGATGCTCAGCAAATGAACAGGCTGATAAAACAGTAAGTCAATCACCAAACACATAAAGATCCTTACGATACAAGCTGATCGGAAAAGACATCCTGCGGTCTTTTCAGCTCCACCCGTCTTCCAGGCGCGTGGCACCTGGGACGCCGCACCTGCAGAGCTCTGTGCTCTCTGGGGCGCAAAGGGAACTCTGCTCAGGCTGAGAGCTCCTGGCTTTTTCCACCAGCGACGCCCTCATCATCTCTCCCTACGCCACTCTGAGCCTCTGAACCGGGTTCAGAAACTTCCAGCTCACCTTCCTCTGGTCCTCCTTCCAGCGGAAACCGGCCAAGATGGTCTTGATCAAGCTCAGATCTAAACAGCTCACTTTCTTGCTTAAAACCCTTAAAAGGCTCTGATTTGCCTAAACAGCTCAAATGATTTAACCTGTGTTATGTGCCGGGAAATTCCAGCAGTCACCTGTTTCTGGCCCCTCTGCCTTTATACCTGTTTCTCCTCTGTCCTTCTTCCTTCTTCCACTGAATCCTCCGGTAATGATGTACTTGGGCAAGTCCTCATCTCTGAACCCAACGAAGGGGTCGCCTGCTCCAAGAAGCTTCCCCCGCCCTGCACTTTCCTCCGCGGGCTGGCTAGATGGTCTGTGGTCTCGGGGCCTCCCTGCCTTTCTCGTCCAGAGCGCTTACCAGGCCCGTTCTGTTCATCAGCTCACACGCGACTGCAAGCTCTTCGAGAACAGAGACTGCCTCGAGTCACAGACACTCCATAGTAACCAGCGGGGACCGCTCAGTGGCTTCGGTGGCACTTTTCCACACGGTGTCATTCCCAGAATTCGGAGGAGGAGAGGAGGAACAGCTGAATGTGGGTGGCGGGGGCTGCAAGAAAGGCGTCCCCGGCCTTGGCCACTTTCCCCTTAGGCCACAAGGTGCAGATCCTGCCTGCCCTCCCCCTGGCTTCCCCTGGGAAGTACAGCCTGGAGCAGATTTCTCCCTCCCTCCCTCCTTCCCCCCCCCTCTCTTTTCATTACTTAAACCAAATATATTTCAGAGAAACCAGATATTGAAAAGTAAGCCATAGACATAATACAAATTTAGAAGAATGGTGTTTTAAATATGAAGACAAAAATAGAAGCCAGATAAGAAAAGATTGCTAAATTGAATTTATAAAGTATATAAAAATACAATAAACACCAAAGTCAACAAGGGGACTTTTGCATCAATGAATATGAGAGCCAGAGTGACATTTAAGGGACCTCAGTGTCTAGGTGAGGAAACTAAGGTCCAGGGAGGGAAACGACTCGACTAAAGTCACACCGAGTTGGTTGTCAGCTGAGTCTAGGATTTCTAACTCTGATTAAGGCCAAGATGAGCCAGCACCCAACTCAAAAGGGAGAAGGGGTAAAGTCCAACATCAAACCTAAATAATCTGGAAGCGTCACTTGGCCCCATTTTCTGTCAGTGGTCTTTAACCTGGGGGCCGTGGCGCCCTCCCTGAAGGTGAAGGTATATACGTACGTATATTGTCCCATCACCCCAAAGCTGTTAAGAACCACTGACTGATCTGCATCTTTGCTACCTCCTGAAGCTTCGAAAGAAGCTCCTAAATGCTTTTACATAGACCATTGCCTAGTCTAGACACGAGCTTACCACACGACCTTGAACAAGGTCCTTAACACTTTTGCACCTAACTTTACTCATCTAAAAAAATGCAGTAAATTAATAATTTTGTGCCTCCTGTTTAAAGCACGTGCTGGGCTAAAGCAAGGAGATAGAATCAGGTGGCCTTTCATGTCCCCTCTGGATTCAGTGGCCTGTGATCCATGGTCCCTCCCACAACCTCTGACTCAGACCCTGTGGGTGACACAGGAGGAAAGGCAGTGAGAGGAGTGGTAGACTCTCCCCCAGAAGCCCACAAGCTCAGTAAGCTCTTCAGAGGCACCTGATCCCCAGCAAACGGGATGAGCCACATTCTGTGCCATTTAGCTTTATCGGAGCCCTTGCCCTATAATATGCAGACATCACCAGCCCAGTGAATCAGAGGAGTCTGGGAACTTTTATGATCTGAACAAAGGAGATAGTTATTGGATGGGAAT